CTGCACTTTCCTTCTGATGGGTTGCTTCCTAGGTTTTGGGTAAAGCAGTTTAATGTCAGAGAACTTTTTTTGTGATCAGTTCCTCAATAGTAGAGATGGACACAACAGTAAATGCAGCTCTCTTAGTCTTTAGTAGTTATAGCTTAAACATCATAAAATCTCATAAGTATACAGATTTTTCGGTTCGCCATTGCGTTCAGTATAATGCTTTAACTGAGAAGAGTTAGAATCCTATGTATAGTCAATTCTATCTGGCAATGTTAATTGTCGTGTGTATTCGTATGAATTAGTTGCAAACGAATGGGAGAAAAAAAAAAAAAAAAAGAACCTGAGCAGGTAAAAGAAAGGCTCAAGAAGCAGAAAGGTGGTTATAATGTGGGAAAGTCGTCTGCTAAAAGCAACACTACTTCTCTGTTGTCATGGGTCAAATTGTGAACAAAAAAATAATCAATTCGTGATGCTCCCTCGCAGATAATCGGTATGAAGACGCGCAATTGCAAACTATCAGCACGCCTATGTAGGGATAGGTGTGTCGTCTGGTGCTGCAATCTACCGTCTCAAGTTTGCTCGGTGCATTCAAACAGAGCATAACTGGAAGACACTTTCATCATGTGAATTCCCAAGCATCCATAACCGTTGAACATCTCCACTCTAATCTGCTATATGCGGCCCGCAGGCGACAGGAGCTGGGCTATGAACTATCTTTTAAATGGTAAAGATACCATCGGTCATGCTTTACGAAAAAAATCCTGCTAGGGCAGATGGATTGCAACACCATCGGTCTGTCAGTGTTGTAAATTTGAACAGTAAAGCCAACAGAAGAGGGAGGTCCCCCCTTCTTTTTTGCTTTCATAGCTTGCGTGCCAAAAACACGATGGAAAAAGAGAATGAGCAGTAGCCAGAAATGATATAAGTGGGAAACAACCAAAAAGAAGCAAGGGGTATTCGGAACAAGACTGAATTCAAATAAAATAAAACCCACACAATTTCTACTATGACATCAAATAATGCTAGCATCATCGACTAGTGGACTGTTAGGATAAGATTTGTGAACAAACAGCTATAACATATAGAAGCAAAAGGTCAGATACAGGCTTCCATATCTACATTCAGAAACTTCTCCAAACAGCTGGATTCACCATTTGAGATGGCAATATACTCTTTGCATCACAGTCCTCCCTTGCTTCCTTTTCTCGTTGACAAAAAACCTAGCAGGAGAAAGTGAGAGTGAGCATCCACTGAACTCATGTAAGGTGCAAAAGCTGATTTACACTACAAAAAAATATGAAAAATTACCACAACAGTGATTCTCAAGGAATTCCACAGAATCCTAATCTTGGCTGAACTTAATCTTCTTTGGCACACACTTGACATCACCAACCTGCAAAAAAAGGAGGGTGGCATAAATATTTTGATCAGTCATAATACATGGATATCAAAACAAAGGCATAAAGATCCATTCTTGGTTTGTACCACAACATGGCAATAAATAATCATCACCAAGGAATTAATGCTTTTATGCTAAACTTAATTTTCTCTAAACCATCAAAGTAATATTCATAGAAGTAAAGAAAAGGTATTGATAGCCACCTATTCACTATGAATAGATGTCTTACACCAACACTTGACATCACCAACCTGCAAAAAAATGGATGTCTTACACTACAGATAAAAATGATTCTATACAAAAATGATTCTATACAACCATGGTAAGCTTAAGAGTGGCCCACCACTGGCAAACAGAGTCGAATAGCAGTAAAAGCTATTTGTGAAAGAGAAAAAAACATTGGAACTGTGCTGGAAAGAACAGGCGGGGCGCTTATATACATGATTTTGTTTTGATCTATGAACGAGAGTGGTTGAACAGAAATATTCTGTGCCACCATGTTCAAAGGAATCTGAAAGCTTTTATATCCTGCATTTTGTCTTACAATCACATTTCTTGAGTCACCCAACAATAACTAGGATGACATGCTTACAGATCAGAGAAGCTGACTTGTATCAAATGAGTATGAGCATCAGAGACAATATATGCATTCAAAGTATTTGTTACCATCTAAGATAAACAGAAAGCTTAGCAGCATTCTAAGTGAGTCAATATTCTATTTCCAAGAAAGTATAACTGATCACAGCTCCATGCTAAATGCAAGAGCAGTTATGTTCATGGTTCAAACAAGGAATCTATTGGAATCAGGGATGCAGGAAAAGGGAAGAAATCTTGGGTAAAAAGGACAGCTATGAGTATTAGAATTTTTTCATATCACTCAGCAGTTAGAGATCTGATCCGTAGACTCAAGAATACACATATTTTCTGTGTACATGGTAATGCTTTCCCATTGACATCAACTAGACTGGTGAGATTGACTAAAGCAATAGAAAAATTTTATTCTAAATCTTGATGCTAGACATAGCAGGCTGATTTCCTTCTCCTGTTCCTTTTCCCCAATTATCTTTGTACTTAGTCAAGTATTAAAAGGAGAAAAATGACAAGAGTTCTTACGAATTCTGGGCACTCATAATCCAAACCAGCAGCTTCTATCTTTTTTCGTCGCTTCTGATCTCGCTTCATAATCCTGCCCACCAATCTTCTGTGCTCATCAAGTGTTCTTTCCTGAATAGCCATAGCACAAAACAAAAGGGTTATCAAGCAATTGTCAGAAATAACATTTTTTCCTTCTATAGCATGAAAACTATAATTCCTCATGATTATCACTTCCTACCCACTGCATACCTTGTTCTGTCTTTTTCTTTCGGTTTGAAGCCGGTCCATGGGGTTGTAACGATAATTAAAACCTTTCCATCTATGTGTGCCCCAAAAGAAAATGGAAAAACAAAATGAGTAACCATAGCATATGGGGGAGGCAACCAAAGTAAACAGTATAGGACTCTGTTTATAGTTTCCAAGTTCACATATCCAAGAATTTAGCCAATAAAGAAAGAATAAAACCCATCAGCAGCATATCATCAGTGAATGCCTACAGAAATAAATCACATGATGCTATCTTTCCTTGCACCATGTAAAGTAAAAAAGATAAATTGCTTACAATTTAGGATGAACATGCTCCTGTGGAATAACATAGACTTGCAAAAGATGCTCAAACAACAGATAGTTATGCATACATTCAGCTACAACTTCTGCAACCTGCAATCAGCAAAGGGGTTTTGTTATAAATCCTCAAAAACATCAACATTCAACCAGTACTACAATTTTAAGATCTACAACCTCAGGATCTTCAAATTCCATGAATCCAAAATGCTTTGATTTTCCAGTCTGACAAAAAACACACATGCAAACACCAAGTTACAATTAAAATCACACCAACTACTGCATTTAAGACATCATTAGTCTACATAGTACATACAAAGAACCAAGAAAAGACCAACCTTTTTATTCCTCGCAATTCTCAATCTCTTGATAGTACCGAATTGCGAAAAATAAGCTGAAACATAGAACAGAAATCTAATAAACAAAACCACAAAACACAATCTCAACATAAAATAAACACTGCCCATCAATAACAAATTAAACCTTACCTTTCATTTCTTCCTCGTAGAAACCATGAGGTATCCTACCAATGTACAGCACACCGGACTTATTTTTCAGCTCTTTCAATTCTGGTAACTTCCGCGCCGGTCCACCTTCTAATGGCTATTTTTTAACACGAAAAAAAATTACGAAAAAAAATAAAAAAAAATTGATGTAAGAAGAAAAAAATTAAAAAACATACCAAGAAATCAGCAGCGGCTTGTTTTCCATTAACTAACTGGGTTGACGAAGAAGAAGAAATTTTGCTCATTTTCTTTTTCAGTGATTTCTTTGCTTTCGCCCCCATGGTAATGAACAAACAGCAAATCGAGAGGAATCTTGTTTGGTTGTCAGGAAAAGAAAAGACGGAAGATATTAGAGAAGGAGCGAGAGAGCGGGGAGAGTTAAAGATATAAGAGAGAAACTGAGCGTTCTGAGAAATTAGGGTTTAGCGAATAAGGACATGGTCTGGGCTTCATGTTTGGGCCAATGTTAAGAATGACCCGACATATAGCCAGGCCTAATGTAAATATAGGAAAATCTTATGGTGGAACGTTTTGATTATATTTGTTTTTAATAAAAATAATTTTTAAAATTTTATTTTGGCTTTCCATTTTTTTTATAACTTGTTTACGTTATATACTTTAATTTTTAATTTAAAAAAAATAAATTTCTTTCATGATTACCACCACTATTGCCTCTACCAATACTGTCATTGTCTAAGATGGATTTTTATTTTTTTTCCTATCTTAATATCAATGAAGTAATCAATGACTATATTTAATAATATAAATAATTTAACCGTCATAGATATATAAATTATAGAGCTTTTTATATGAATAACGTGATTTAAATTTGTATATTTTTAATATTTTTTAATTTCAATAACATAAAGAAATTTAAAGGATATAAAAAATTTATGAAATGTGGCTTTATTATGTTAGTAACTAAGTTCTTTCTCGGTTTAAATACTGGTATATGAAATTGACTGTATGCACGCATAAACTGACACGTGGACCTTTTTACCTGGCAGCAGGCCTAAGGTACTTCTGCAACAGCCAAAAATAAAACTGAATTACACTTCACGGACTAAATTGTGCCGGTACTTAAAGATAAAGAACTTAATTGTTTTTAATAATGCTTTGTTGAGACGTGAACTTACCCATCCATGACTTTAAGATTGATTTAGATTTATTTTTATTTTTTATATTGAAAATACATGAACACAATCATGAAACTCAAATTATAATTATTAATAATTGCTCAATAAAATAAAAAAAATACAACAAAATAGACTAATTATAGTTATTGAATACCTTTTAATAGTGAAAATTCTAATAACTATTAATAAAACTGGGCATTTTATTTATTCTTTTTATAATCATAACAAAGAAAAAAGAGTAACCCTTCAGTTGAAGTCACCGTAGCAGTCACCACTTGTTAGAAAAATTTACATGTATAATTAATCATCTACATGGTGATACAGTTGTAAAAACTTGAAATCAAAAAAATTATTTTCTTTATGATCCTAAATTCAAACCCTATGATTGCTAATATAATAATCACTAAAGGCTAGATCATCAAAAGTTACCAAAATCATAACTCATAAGCAACCCTAGGCCCTGGCTGATACTATAAGACCAACAGAGTGAAGATATCAACCAAATGATGGCACATCAGTACAATTAGTAACATGAATGAACCAGCCTCGCTCACCTCCCCTAAGAAAGCTTCTTTGACAAGCCTGCCTTTTCCACCCATTTTGCTTGATATTTGATATCTTGACAACTTCGTGTGCATATTCACAATTGTAGCTACAAGAATTAGTTCATGGCAGATAAAAAAAGGGCGATCAACATCTTGTTAAATCCTGGAAAATATCATGGGAGTGAGAGGGCTGAGATCATGTGAGCAGTTTGACTACATATAGCTTTGTCGTCGAATTACTCAATGAGCAACTGGTTGGGAGATGGAGTCGTTTGTCAGCTCCTGTAAAGTTTTCATGATATAAGAGAATGAAGGACGTTTTGAGGGCTCGCTGCAGTGAAAGGAAAGCTCACTATTAGAGTATGACAGAAAGGGGATAGAGATACTAAAGGCGCGCGCACTGTATATTACATGGTTCCTTACCCTGAGAAGGGTTTCTTGAAGATACACATATTTCACAGTTGAGAAATAATTTTTTTTCCACGAACTCTTAGGAGATACAATTATGAACGTCCACTTACCTATCCAAGCAGACCTTAATCAAGGCAGCCACTGAAGGATTTACATTGCTTGGAATCTCAAGCCTTCCGCCCATAAAACCAACAGCAGCAATGATCTGAAGCAAAATTTACAGCACTCGTTTAACATAAATACTAGCATTTGTGTTCTGTATAATGCAGAATCATGTGTACATTAGTATCTGTTCCAATAACTATGATAGTTCTAGTTACAGACTTCATCTCATGCAGCAGTTAATATTCTGTGCATAACAAGGAACAGTCCACACCCTTCAGCAGTTGACCAGTTAATATTCTGTGCATTTCCCTTTGAAGATCTCACACCCATTCTCAAGTTCAAAAATCTTAGTTGATGAAGAGAGACCAATTCTATATTTTCTTGGATTCTCAGTGTATGAATTTAGCAACAATTTGTGAAATGAAGCATATGAATGCAAATTACCTGTGCTTGTTTTAAATTTCTCCATGGATGTTGCAGGGTCATAAGTTCCCACAAGACTACACCAAAGCTGTAAACATCTGATTTTTCATTTGATTGCTCATTCCGAAGTACTTCTGGGGCCATCCACTCCGGCTAAAGAAGAGGATCCAGAATTGTAAACTTAAGTTTGTAACCAAATCCATGCTTTGCTTTTGAGTAACAACTTATTGATTCCAAAGGAGCACTTACAGTCCCTGCAGCACTTGTCGATGAAATATATGTCTTCGCTTTTGAGCGTGAGAGGCCAAAATCACAAATCTGGATAAACATTTTCCTGTCAGTCTTCTCATCCAAATTATGTTAAAGAACATTCCCACAAAAGACATCAGAAGTGTCCGCATTTTCAATGCAATAAAATTAGCTTGCTCTTTATTATTTCTTGAGTATAAGTGGGTACTGAGGCCATTAAGTTATTCTATTTCTGTTCTCAAATTTAGCTAGTCACTTCAGCATTGTATGCTAATCAGGGGAGCAATCAACAATGAGATAAGCTGTTGAGGTCCTGTGTCAATGGGAAATTTGACCACTGCAACTTTAAGGCCAAAGCACAGAGAGAGGAGAGAAGAACAAACAATTTTCAGGTTTAAGGTTAAAGGTTTTGAGCAGAGCAGAAAGTTTTTAAGCATCTCATTGAAAACGGGATAAAAATTAGTAAACAAAAATGGATATCCAAATATCACTGTTTTGGAATACTAACCTTGACCTTGTATGCACTGTCCACTAAGAGATTTAGAGATTTCAAATCTCGATGAATAATGGGAGGTCTAAACTGATGAAGATAGTTCATTCCCTTTGCCTGCACAGATAAATGAACAGCTCCTAAATCCAGGAAATTTATATTCAACATCTAGATGATGATATGAAAGTTCCAACCTAGCATTTGTTCCACTGATTATCCATTTGCATAGAAGTATAAATATTAGCCAAAAGAAGAAGAAGCATACAACATCATTCGCCATATTTAAGCGGCGCCTCTCATTCAGTATCAAGGCAGCATCAGCCAGATGTAAAAGTTTGTGCAAGCTGCCTCTGCAGTCCAAAGCAAATTATTTACATTAACAAAGAGTTGATTTCTTACAAAAATATCTACCAAAAATCATCACAAAGAATTTTAATACCTTGATAAATACTCCATAACTATGGACAAGTTAGGGGGTTGGGTAACAGCACCCATAAAGAGAACAATATTTGGATGTCGTAAACGCTTCATTATAGAAACCTGACAAACAAGAATCAATGCAATTAAGGTTAACTCAAAACATGAAAAACTAGACAGTCAATATTAGTTTTTACAGAAAAAAGTATAGGTACCTCACTCAAAAATTCCTCAAAGCGCTCTGTGTGAAATTCTTGCTCCTCGAGAATTTTGACAGCAACCTCCTGAAATTGATATTTCAGTACTGATGAAGATCAGAGCATTAAAATGAAGATGTAAAAAACAATGAACTAATCATGGCAACAAAACTGAAGGGGCTAATAGAAATATCCAGTATGATTACATAGTTGATAGAACTGAAGGACTGAGACAAGAATTTATGCACTCAAATGACCACTTCTAGGTGCAAGAATGGCTAGTAATCAACTCAAGATTATATTGCATATCGTAAAGAATACATAAAAATAACCACTCTACATATCCTAACTACTTTATAGGTCTACAAACCATAATACAAGGCAGTCCTGCGACCAATAACTTCCTAGGAAGCCTGAATAGATAATTACTAAAGAGGAGATTGGTTTTTTTGTAAAGGCACCAAGCGTTATAGCAGAATCCACAATAGAACACCACTTTGCTGCTGGGTTTTCTTATAAATAATGTATACATATAACCTTGTATCTCATCAACAACAGCAATCATTGAGATGAAAGATTCCCGCTCAAAAACCACTATAAATACGTATTCAAAACTTGCAAAACAAAATGTCTATTATGATTGGATAAAAGGAAGAAATTCTTACCGAACCACGCCAGTCAGCATGATAGACAGTTCCAAAGGAGCCTGAGAAGCATTTGTTAGTATCCTTCTTGAAAGAAATCTCACAAAATTCACAGACTAAAATACAATGGCTACCTGAAGGGGATGCAGAAATATCAATAGCTACCACAAAATTCACAGACTAAAATACAATGGACGCGTGAAGGGGATGCAGAAATATCAATAGCTACCATATCATGCAGCTGTGAGGTCCTTCCAAAGTTCAAGTGAAAAATACCTGATCCAATTTTCTTCTTCAATAGAAGTTCACTCCAGGGAACATCCAAATCTTCCTCTTTGAGATGAAGTTGATTGTTTGATTTACTTAGTATTGTCTGGTTTATTTCCATGAGCAACAAATTATCTGTAGCGACAGGCTTTGGATTAGAGATGACAGGATCTGTATGTTTTTTCTTAACTGGGAGGATAGAACTTGGCACATTGGGACCTTCAACAAAGTTCTTCATTTTTACGACATTCAGAAATGGATTATATGAGTTTGGCACCCGCAGATCCATGTCATACATGATGTTCTGAGCAACTCCTTGGTGCAGAGGTGACAGAGAAGCTTCATGTTTGTTGCTTGATGTGGGTGGAAGGCTCTTCATGTCTTTACCAAGCCTTGAAATGAATCCGTCATCTTCACAAATAGTAGTGCCTGAAAATCAAAGCTTTGTAAATGTCACTAACAAATAACTACACTGAATCTCAATTGTCTTTAAGTACCATTTACGAGCATAAGTTGTCACTCTAGCATTTTCTTTGGGAGGTCAGACTCATAGTCACAGTCACAGTCAGGCAAATCACGTGTGCTGTAATAAACCATATTGAGCATTACAATCAGCATATTTAAACCTTTTCTTTTCTGTTAACAACTCTTTACATTTATTTAAATACTGTTACAGTTGAATGAAGTTTGATCACAAGATATGAATTAATTCTTTAGTTTTTTACAAAATTTACAATTTGAAGGCACAGGGAAAGTACTATGCATCTTAAACAAGTATGAAAATGTGGTGGGGATTGTTGAGAAATAGGTTAAACATAGGCATCGTTTGGAACTGCGTTCCAAACAACATTTCATAAAAATTTCATTTTTTTTCTTAAAATTATTATTTTTTTTATGTTTTTCGATCGTTTTGATGTACTGATATCAAAAATAATTTTTAAAAAATAAAAAATTATTATTTTAATGCATTTTCAAGCAAAATATATTTTGAAAAGCAATCGCTACTATATTTCCGAACACCTGAATGATGCATAACTTGATCCCTATGTCACCTGATTATAAAAAACAAATGCCAAAGCCATCAATCATGTTTTTTAAAATATTATAGATTCATGAAGTAGATAGAGAATTACCTGATGAAGGATTATCAAACACAAGATTAAGTGGCTGGCAGTCAAGGAAATAGAGTTTGGCTGCCAATGTCCTGAAGTCCTCATTTGTTTGGATAGATTTAAACCTTGGATGAGACAATGGTGAAGAAACTAATACTGAAGATGCACAATTGAGTGAGGAATCAGGCTGGCTTAGGGCTCCTGGCTTTCCAAGCAAATCAACAAAGTATTCCCTGAGGATTATAGAATTAATTAAGAGATCAACCACTCCATGGACCTTTCATTTCAACAATTATAAAGCAATATCAACTACCGTAAAGGAAAACTCCTACCATAATTCCCAAAGATAGGTCAGTCATTCAACCTCACAATTTTGAACAACTGAGCTTTGAAAACAAAGCAACTGTGAATCCTCTCACAGCAGTAATTACTTAGGGAACTGGACGACTCCATATCTAATTGCCTAAATGGAAGTGCAAGCAAGCTCAAAGGAAAACATGGATGAAACCTACAGCAATCCAAGATTCACTCATCCTCTCCCACTCTTAAGTCTGCACTACATAACACTAAAATTGTCAATATATATACCAATCACAAAATTTGATTTACCCACATTTTAAAACTCTTATTGCTCCACATATTTCCAAACTACTATATAGTGAAATTCAAATAATAAATGGCTGAAAGTGCATACCTGTCATCACCAACTTGAACAAGACAGGATGAAACAACATCTCTTCTGCAGTATTTACATCCGTTAACAATTCTGCAAGGCAAATTAATAGAGTCCGCCAATACCTACAAAAAAACACATTTCAAGAGATGTGAAATTGTCAATAGAGACATTTCTAGGTCAGAGGAGACAGATAAAATAATTAAAGGAACACACACACACATACAGCCAAAAGGTTACATCATTCCATTCAACACACAAATCATATGCATTCAATACAAACATGGACAACATGAGAAAAGCTATAGAATGCAATACAGGTTTGTGATATTTACTTTAAACAACAATGCACGATGAACACAGAGGCCAAACGTTAAACTTCCAACCAGAATTACAACAGAACCTAAACGTCTTTTCATAACTTCAGTACATTCCTTCCAGCATTTGGCAAAATTGTCATCATCTTCATTGAAGACAACACCCCTGAGACAATAACAAAAACCTTTGTTGACAAGAATTATAACACAAAAGCATTCAAGGCAAACACCCGAAACTGATCATAACTCTAGAACTCACCCCATACGATTACAAACAAGATTCGCAAGCTGCTCAACCACATCTTTTGTTGTATTCGAGCCACTCCAAAGACCAATAACTCTATTATGTAACTCCTTCAAACCAGAATCCCTCAATCTATCTACCAAAACCACTTCTATTGACAAATCATTGACAGCCTTTAATGATTCAAGAGACGGGACACGACTATCAGCACTTATACTCCATGTATAAGGATCCAATCCATGCATTACGTAAAACCCATCTGGAATTCTATCATTATAAGACAAACATCCATTCACCTGAGACAAATAAAATCATTTTTTATAAAAAAAAAAAAAAAAAACAGACACCATTTCAGAGCACAACAAAATATTCTAAAAAATCATCGTAACCAAATCTTCTTCGAAACCACTTCTAAAAGAGAATCTTAAACAATTGAATTCGTGGGGTAAACTCACTTCAATGGTTGAGATTTTTCAGGAAGTGATTTCGGAAAGAATGAGTAAAATTAGCGATGCTCGTATCTGTATTTTTAAATAAATTAGACATTCATGTGAAATCCTCCAGCTAGCTTGCTTGCATGAATGCATACAAGAAAACTAAAAAAACAAATAAAAGACAAGCAGAAAGTACCCAAAAACGATGAGAAATGGATTCAGGAGAATCAGAGAAAGAAGAAACCCCTCTGTTGCTATCACTAGAATTCCAATCCAAGAAACTGGGATCATTAGCTGAAGCAGCTTGTGAAGATAACCTCAAAGCCAGAGCGAGCTGTAACTGATAACTCTCTTCCGTTTGTTTAGCCCAGCTCTTTATCGTTGCTTCTTCAAACCAACTTCCAGACTCTTCCATTCCAGGAAAAATAAAAAAAACTCCGAGCTCCCAATTACATAATGAATTCCATGAACTTAGAGCATTTGAGGTGGAACATTGAGAAGAAGAAAGAACGATTGCTGGAAATGAAAATGATTCGCTGACATTGATATTTTAGTTTAGCTTGGAATGGAAAGAATACGGAAAGGAAAGGGAATTTCTTTTCTTCTCTTTTGTTGGGTGGGGGTTAAGTGGGGTGTTCCAGTTTTTGAATGTTACAGGATTCTGCTAAGTTCAGTGAATGAAGGGATGGGATCATGTGTGGGCGGGTGTACGGTGGAATAGTATGTCACTGATTGATTGGTGGTCGGTCTTCTTTGATTTGAATGGTTAGTGTTGGTTAACGAACATGGGCGGGTCACAGACTCTCAGGCAGGTTCTCAAATCCGGAGCCGTTTAGGCCTTTTGACTTTGACATTAATATTTTAGGTTGTTCTTGTTTTATCCTTTTGATTTTAAGATTTTTTAATATGGGATTTTTTTTCCACCATTTTTTTTTTTGGGTTTCAGACTGATGACCACAACATAAACATGAGCATTGCAAAAAGATTAATCATTTACTTTATTAATTTTAAAAAATAATTCCTCGACCCTGTACATTCTTTTTCTTTCTTTTTTTCCCAGCCAACAAAAATAAAAGACGGAAATAGTCAAATAAAACTATAGAAATTGATTTCAAAATTATTCAAAAATATATTTATTTTATATTTCTATTTATAATATTTCTATCATTTATGTCATGGAATTCTAACTAAACACAACCACAATTTCCATATTCCATAATTGAACTGTCATTTTCACAATTATGATCATTAATAACCTTCTGTTTGTCACCAAGTTGAAAATGGGAAAAGTTGAAGGGAGCAAAAAAAAAAAAAAAAACTTTTAAGATTCGAGTGAAACAGAAATTACCATGAATTTTGCCATAATTATCTAAAAAAACACGTTTGATTCTATTCGGATAATCTGAGGATAAAACTTATCTGTTTAATGATATCTTCTTTAAACACTACATTCTCTCTTTGCATCAAAAACAAGACAAAAGTTCTAATCTTTCTGTCCCAAGAAATGGAAGTTGATCTAGCACCAAAATTGTGTGAGGTGTTTGGCGGAGATGGCGGGGCAGTGGCTGTGTTCAGGTTGGTGGTGTTGATGGTCGGAGGGTCTTGGAAACTGCTGTTAAGGCAGGTCATTCTCTGTTTTTGACAGGGAGTTTCACTGGGGAATACAAGTCAAAATTTGATACAAAGTTTTAGCACCAGTGTGCATCAGCTAGCTCGTGACATTTCTTCATTTACTACGTGGAATTAACCTCTCTCCTTTATGCTGCCACCATAGCACAATGGGAAAACAATAGTGCCAACAAGAAAACATAGCAAATAAATGCCTTAGTGCTCAAAGTTATATAGTCTCCTGTAAATCCAAGGAACATGTCCTCTACAGGTGAGTTATCCATGCACTTAACAAAAGCTGCAATTGTCAAGTCTGCTACATGGAAAAAGACTGTCATTTTTCAAAACCCTAGAACTCGAGAAATAACAGTGACAGAGATGTGAGAAAGGGTACTTACAAAGAAGATCCAATTAGAGAAATATTGGACCGCAAAAACAACTTCTGAAGCTTGCCACAAGATGAGGCTCTTTAGAGAAATTCTGAGACTTTCCTGGTATGATCCGAATTCAAGTTAAAACAATATCATCAGAAAAACCACATTTTTGGTCCTCTATAATCCATCAGGCCCTAAATTTTCCTTATGGAATCCAAGTATCTTCCGAAGATCAATATCCTCAGTTTCTGAAGAAAACTATTCTCACATTCACTAAGTGGTGATGAAACAGGCGAGACTTTAGCAATAAGAACGAAATTCTCTCCATTTCCAACATCAATTTCATACAGATCATGAAAAATCTCCCGAAACTCATGTATCAATGTATCATAGAACAATCTAGTAGGAGGAATCACATTCATGACAAAAATCCCAAAATCACTAAGAATAGACCTAGCAGCCAGAAGAATGTGCTTCTTAACAAATTCCAATGGCGGAGCAATGACACCATTTGTAGCATCACAAGAATCTAAATCAACCATAATGACATCAAAATTAGCATAAAAAACATTAGCATGATTTAAATAACAATCACCGTTATCTTCACCTGAAACCAAATTCAGCACCCTATCTTTACTCGCAAGCTTCTCTACATATTCTATAGCATCCCCAACACAAACCTGAATTTCTTCCAGCCCAAAATACTGCCTCGCAACCCTCAAAACCTCCTCATCCATTTCCACACCAAAAACTTCAAACCCCAATTGAGTTCTCAGAAAACTAAGTAAAGCTCCACCACCTACACCTAAACACAAAGCTTTAGGCTTTAACCCTTTTCGAAACCGATCCTCGATACAAGAACCAATCAAAGAAAGACTAGCTACCATCGGTATCAAATATGAATGCACCAGAACCTTAGTGTCAGGCCTAAACTTCACTTCTCCACCAATCTTAACACGATCTAACTCAAAAACCTTCTGAGGCACGATTCGAATCTCTGTTTGAACCAAATTGGGCATTCTTTTGAACCTCAATCTCCTCCTAAACTCTCTCAATTCACTATCACTCTCAATCTCAATATCCTCAACAAGCATTTCACTAACAAAAATACCAGCACGTCTCTCTAAAACCACACTACAAATCAAATTATCTTCATAATCCAAAATAGGCACATCAAAAATCCCATCTTTAACACTAACTTTAGGAGATAAAGCAAAAAACAAAGGCTTTAAACTATTTTCAAGACTTTTTACATACTGGGCATCCTCCCTTTTGTGGTAAGTCAATGGAGATGAATCAGGGCCATTGATTCGATTGTTGCCGATCAATATGAGCCGTGAGATTCCAGGAGAGGATAAGAGGAGCTGGAGGTGACCTGACTCGGTTGAGAAAATCCAGTCTGGTTCACGGGTTTGAGGGACAAAGAGAGCTGCGACTTGAGGAGACTCGGTGAGTTGGATTGGGGAGTCGAGGACCGCAACTCGGAGGAGGTGAGTTGGGAGTACGGGGTTGGGGATTGTGAAAGAGAGGAAACGAGAGGGGATTATGGTTTCGAAGGTTTTTATGTCAAGGGCCATTGAGTCTGGCTTTAGAAGAAGAGGGGAGTGGGAAAGGAAGGGAAATCAGGAGAGGGGGCAGGAAGGAAAAGGTGTAGGATGGAAGGTGATGTTAATTTTCACTGCGAGAAAAATTAAATAAAACTTCAGTTCAGTATTCAATTTGCTGAAAAAGGCGTCGGACAAAAATACCTTGGAAGCAAAGGGCACAGACTTGATCCAAAATTAATCTGGTGACTCAAATTTTTTTAAAAAAAGAATATTTATTTAAATAAAATGACATTTTAAAAAAATATAATTTTAAAAAATCTAAAAAGATATCCTGTGAATCAGCCCTTGCATCCTTATCAAGTCTTATATCTATGAAATAGATTATCCCAATTTATTCATTTTTGTTTTTTAATTTTATAGTATCAATTTATTTTTCTCAAAAGTAGCTTGACAATCCGAACAGATCTAATTATCAAAATAAGAAGAAAATGCATCTAAAACGTTTCACCCCCACAAAAAAGGGGAAAATATTAGATAAGATAGCAATATGTTTCTGAATTCTGATAATAATTCCCTGACATTGCAACCTACATGGGAATTGAAACAGAAATAATTCTCTGCTAAGAAAGTTCAAATTATCAGAACATCTCATGCTGGATGCTGCTGCTCGAAACTGGTTTCTAGGAGGAGGCAGCTGGTTCAAAAGGGCAACCAGGCCCCCCACACGAAAAGCAAAATAGGCCAACCAGCTGGGTACCATCACCTTGCACCTGTCACCAGAAAGCAAAATGTTTGGCGTTAGTTCGAATTAAGCTCCCTGGGAATTTGATGCAAACGCTGACCAACAAGACCGTAGCACCAATCAGTCGTGAGACCAGAAAAAATAGTGGTGGTTTGATTAAAGATATTTTACTTTAGACATCAGCATCTGGAAACTGGTGGCAACATAGGCAGTGTTTGTTGTAGTATTTTTCTTTTTTTTATTGTGTTGATAATTATTTTTTAAAATATTTTTTATTTAGATTTAAAAATTTATTTTTAATATCAACATATTAAAATAATTTAAAAATATAAAAAATAAGCAAAATAAATCATTTAAAAAAAAACACACAGCTATGCCGGCCCATAATATATCCATTTGCAAACATGACTGTAACATGATAAGTATCCACTGTTTTTTCTTTTTCATATTTCCAATTTTAAGGCTCACCTCTGTTTCACCCAATCTTTCCACTTGAACCACCTCTTCCACGGCCTCTACCCATGTCCTTAGCACCTCCAATTAGCACTATCAGGGTCACAACCATGCCCTTTCACCAGTACAGTCCGATGCTCAAACCTAGGTGGCTTTGGATTGAAATAATTGAGAGTCAATCAATTAAATTTTCAAGTTTCTACATTTCTGAACGTGTATAGCAGAAGGCAGAAAACTAATTAATCAATTAACAAACAAAATGCGAATTTCAGATTTCTGAAACAAAAAGAAGACAGAGCTCAACATTCTTCACAGATTCATATAAAATGACAACAAAAGTAACTGCAACACTAAGCAGTGCAAGTATCTATGAACACTATGAGGTCACAGGGCTATAAAACTCTCCTCCATGAACAAATTTCGCAAGCATAGTGACATCAGGGTTTCATGAGGTGGCAATATTGTCACTGAAATCTTGTGTAGTACCTAATGCCATATGAATAGAAAAACTTAAGGACTTTTTTTTTTTTCTCTCTTTCAAGGTTCCCTCTATCTATTAGATGCAAGATAAAATCATGTGGCTCTTACAGTTTTGCTTCCATTTCAATGCAATCAGATTTAAAATCAGAGAAATCAGGATGCACAAGCTACTTAATCATAAATGAAGTTTCTTAGCGAAGTGAGTGAATCTAAGTGAGAGTTAGCATAACCCATTTTTCTGAACCAACAATTATCAAGTGCTGATTGGAATCAAAATCAAACAATTTCCGTCACATTGAATTTTCCCAGTAGCCAAACAGAGAACTAGGACTACCATTGAAATTTGAAAGAGATGTTTTATTCACTCACATTTTAAGCTAAAATTTAAAGTTTTCCTCTAAATCAAATTTACGTGAATAGGAAGCAGAAATAAAATAGCTAAATCAATGAAACATAATCAAGTGAATTGTTGGAAAATCCAGTGTGAGAACCTGCTTTTGAGAGAAACCATAGTAGCCAGGATTTGAGAAAACTTGAATCTACTATAAATTAGGTTTCACAGCTCTGTTTGGCTGCAAGGGAAAGGAAGAAAAGTGACTCTCACATGCAGTGCATGGTTAAGGAATCGAAAATTGTAATAAAAAATTGAAAATTTCATCTGTGTCATATCATCGAATACTGTACATGCAGCTTTCAGGACTGAAAGGCAGCCTCTGTCTAGTTTTAGGGTGAAGATCCTTCTATAGTTCAGAAATTATAATGCTGCCAGCCGGCAACAAACAACCAACCAGAACCTTGTTTGAGTTTTTCAACTAGCCCAGCCTGCCTCAGAACGGCATAATAATGATAAAATTACATTGCTGGGATGGAGGTAACGATACAAAATATATTTTTTTCATTTTCAAAGCAGAGAGAAGTTGAGCCAGCAGAACCTTTTCATTGTTGTTGTTGAAATAACTTCTTTCACATTTCCACTTCCAGTGAAGAAATGCTGTCAACATACATGAATGCCTTCCTGCACCATGTTAGTGCCTATTTGGAAGTTTTTGCTTTTGGATCTTTTTATCTCTAATACCATCAGACAGAAGTTCATAAGCATAGTAAGTTATACAACTTCTCTTCAACAAATCTTCCACAACTATTTTAGGCGCTGCAACCACCTTCTTATCTGCCTCTGATATGGTATTCACAGCCTCAGGGACAATACCATTGTGCACCATAAGATGGATAATATCAACTGCTTCGTGAACACTGTGCTGCACGCAAAGGCAATTTATCACTCGCCCAAATGTTGTCAGTGATGGAATGAACCCTTTCTCAATCATTTCCAGTAGAAACTTGTATCCAGAATCAGTGTTTCCTGTTATGCAAAAGCCATCGATCATGACACGATAAGTGTACGTGTCTGGGGCACAGCCTCCAGCACCCATCTCGAGAAAAAGCTTTTCTGCCATATGAAGATCTAGCTTCTCAGCAAAAGCATTGATCATTATGTTATACGTTGCTGTCGTATGTGAGACCTTATATTGTTCTCCCATTCTTCTAAAGAGATGGTAAGCTCCTTTTAGGTCCCCATTATTGGCAAACCCGCTGATGATTGTAGCAAAACTAACAGTATCTGGTGTAATGCCTTTGTTTAGTATTTCATCAACCAATTCCAAAGCCTCGTTTACTTTCCCAGCTTTACAGAGGCTCTCAGTGAGTATATTGTATGTGATTTTGTTAGGGACACACCCTTTCTCTACCATCGTTTTGAAAGTTTCCATCAAATCTTCATTCTTTACAGCCTTGGAGAGGCCATTCAACAGAGAGTTATATGTGATCACATCAGGAGCAACACCATGGCTCCACATTTTATTCAGAATCTGAATTGTTGTTTCCATTTTCAACTGTTTACAGTAGCCATCAATCAACGTATTAAATGTAAAAACATCAGGTACATATCCTTTGGCGATAGCATCATTCATCAGGTTATTGGCATCGGAGACACAACCCATCTTGCACAGTCCATTTATAACTAAATTATAAGTCCAAATATCAGGGCTGCAGCTATTTTCTGACATCTCATTCATCATCTGCAAGGCTTGCAAGATAAGTCCTTCCTGACACAACCCTTTAATTAGCATGTTGTATAGGATGACAGTAGGCTTCAATCCTTTTCCCAATGCTGCATTGAAAAGAGCCAGGCCACGGTCAATTTCATCATTCTGGCATAACCCGTTAATTAGGGAGCAATATGTGAACTCATCAGGCAAAAATCCCTTGCAAATTGCCCCTTGAAGAATCTTCTCAGCATTTTGTATCATACCCATTTTGCAATACCCATCAATTATAGTGTTGTAAGTGAAACCATCGGGCTCTAAACCACCATTCACCAGTCTGTGCAGATACTTCTCAGCCTCTACTACATTATAGTTTTTACACAATCCACAAATTAACGTGTTATACGTGACCACATCAGGAGTTAGGCCTTCTCTGATAACACTATCCAACATACTCATAGCCCCACTAAGCATACCCTTTCTGCAAAGCCCTTGGATGAAAATATTAAATGTAAACAAATTTGAGCACATACCCTTCTTCAGCACCTTGTTGAGAAGTTTTTCACTTTCTTGGACCTCCCCCTTTTTACAAAGAGTATGTAAAAGCTTGTTGAAAGTAGAAACATCAGGGAAAATGCCTATCCTGAGCATATCATTAAACAATTCATACGCCTCAACTCGATAATTCTCTTCGTAAAACCCAGCAACAACAGTACAATAGGCAACTGCATTAAGCTGACACACTTGAGAAACCATGTTATTAAGAAGCCTTAAGGCAGAATGAGGCCTTCTCGTCCTACAGAACGACTTGATCCTAATAGTGAATGTATAAACATCAGGAACAATCCCCGCATTCTTCATTCTCAAAAACACTTTATGAGCTTGCTTGAAGTACCCAGATTCCACCAATATATTCATAATGGCATTATAGGATAAAACAGATGGCTCACAGTTATAAAAATCCATTCTTTCAAACACATCAACAGCCTCTTGAACCTTCCCTTTCCTTCCATAACTTTTCATAGCTCCAATATACACTCCTTCGAGCAAACTATTATCGATGTCCATCCTCATCTCCGCAAGAATGTTCTCCATGGCCACGAAATTCCCGTGAAACCCAAGTTTTTGGATAATGCATTTGTAAGTTAACAAACTGTGATTGAACCCATCTTCTCTTTTAACTTTGTAGAACATTTCAAGGGCTTTGAGAGGATCCTTTTGCTGCTTCAAAACAGCTGCCACGTGTTTAGGAAGCAGAGTAGCACTCATCCCTGCAACTATGGAAGAAGCTAGTGATAATGATCAAAACCCATCCAAAAAATTCCTGCCCAGTTGATTTTAAAGCCAAGACAATGGGGTAAAGAAGAAAAGGAAGGAGAAGAAGTCTGTTGCTTTTAACTTGATTCAATTTATTTTCCTAGAGTACAAAGAAGAAGAAGAAAATACACAAACCAGTTGATAAAATTCAAAAAAAAAATTCATAGCACTTTGAAAGGAGGAAATTACCAGTAATGTAGAGACAGGAACATGAAATCAGGATTCGGAGTTGTTGCACGAAACTGGTGGCGTTGGAAGTAGAGCTGTTAATAATGATTGTTTTCTCTGTCTCGTGCTTACATGGAGAAGATGGGCATGGAGGGGGTGTAGAATAGGAATAAGTAGTCATGGTCTTGAACGGTGTCGTTTCTTTTTCTTTCTACTTAAATGGATTTCCACCCACGATACATGGAAAGCCCGAAATAATAATTGACGATGGTTGTAGCGTTGGTTTATTTTTGTATTTTAAAAATATTTAAAAAAATAAAAAATATATTTTATATTTTAAATTATTTTTTATATTTTTAAATTATTTTAATATACTGATATTAAAAATAATTTTTTAAAAAATATATATTATTTTTATATATATTTAAATAAAAAATACTTTTAAAAATAATCATAACTACACTTTTAAATAAATAAAAATATCATTAAACTGGTCACCAAAATCTAATATGCGTTTGCTATGGTGATTGAGATTGGGAGAATTCATTTTTTTCACGTGCATCTAAAAATATGTTTAATTTTAAAAAATATTAAATTAATATTTTTATATAATTTTATTATATTAGTATAAAAAACAAAATAAAATATTTTAATACACTATCATGCAAAAAAAAAAAAACTATTTTTGCAGAGTATCTTGAACCTAGATACTGCGCTTGTTCACGTGGTTACTGTAATCAAGCTAACTAGATAGATGCCACCATGATCTTGTTAGAGCTAGCAATATATGTATTGTGAAGCTCTATTTAAAATGAATGAGCATCGAGGATATAAATTATCTATATTAAAAGCTTATATTATGTTATTGTAGCTGAACCGTGTGTGTGGTAATAAATAAATAAAAAAATAACCATCAATCAACATGTTAAAAAACATGCTAGGTTATTGAGTTTTTTTGAATTATTAAAGATTTATACTGTTATTAATTTTAAAATTAAAAAAAATTAATTAAGATATATATAAATTAATCTAAACAATTATATGGATTAAAAAAAAACATGCTATGCACTTTCTATAAGAGGGGGCATAAAGTTTTTCTTTGTTATTTTATTATATGTAGCACTGTAACATGTGTTTTTAAAGAGAAAAGTCAATTTCAAATCACATACCCCTTGGATTAGCATATTTTTTATATTTTATTTCTTGTAACGTAGAAGTGAGTAAAAAAAATAATTAAATTAAAAAAATTAAATCATAAAAAAACTAATTAAATTTTTAAAAAAAAATAACTAACTTGATTCGGTTTAATTTTGGTTTTATAGACCTCAAACTAGAAAAATTAAACCGAATCTAGATTGAAAAAACTGGAAAAAATCAAGCCAGATTGATTTTTGTCTTAAAAACTTAATCGAACCAAAATCAATTTCTATTTTTTTAAATTGATTTGATTACTTTTTTTATAAAAAATAACCAAATAAAAAAGTAATCACTCCTACTGTCTAGTTGTATATTTAAAAAGATAAAAAAATATCAATAACATGCAGAATATAAAATCTAAATTATATAGATCCAGTTTGTTTTCAAATGTTGTATTGTTAGGTTAAATTTAGGATTGTTTAAAAATGTTGCTGCAAATATTTTTTCAAGGTGTTTTTCATATTAAAATAAATTTTTTATTTTTAAAAAAATTTTTAAGATTGATGAGCAAAAACATAAAAAAATTATATCTTAGAAAAAAAAATTATTTGAAAATACAAGTACAATCATGTTTATAAATACTCGCTTGGTTTCATACTAGACTCACATACACACACACACACGCACACGCACGTACACCATGGTGATTTGTCATGTCATGTATTTTTTGGATTAGCTACATGCTGAGCTAAGATATAGACAAGGTTAACAAGTTGTTAGGTATGATATATTTAGATTTAGATATGAGTTGAATCAAATACATGTTAATCTACATAAATTGTTAAACTTGATATTATTAGATTTAACCATGTTTTGAGCCCAAGTACATGCGAGTCAGGTAAGTTATCATGCCTAACATTATCAGGTTTAACTATGTATAGAGTCTTGGTATACATGGATCTTAAGAGTTGTTAGGCCCAATATTCTTGGACTGAGCTATTGACTAAACCTGAATATGTACAATTAAGACAAGTTGTCAAGCCTAGTATCATTGAGTCTAGCTACGTGTCGAGACGAGATACACGCAGGTTTGACAATCCGTTATGTCTATCACCCCTCCTACTTTGCATCATTTTAAATCTAGATGGATTTGAAATTGGCAATCATTGTAGGTCTTATACCGAGTTATAATGTTTTGTTTGTTTATTTTATAACTCCTTACATGTAATGTTAGAAGGTATAGATGATTATCTTTGTATGTTCTTAAGTGTCATTGTAGGTCTTATACCGAGTTATAATGCTTTGTTTGTTTATTTTATAACTCCTTACGTGTAATGTTAGAAGCTATAGATGACTATCTTTGTATGTTCTTAAGTATATGAAAAAATTTCATTTATCTATCATGTTTTCACAAAACATTATTATTGTATGAGAAATGTTCATTACTTGTTAACATTGCGCAAAAGATATCTATATCTTGTCAAAATTACTATAAGAAAACGATATCTTAACCACTTGATATAAACAATATGTATAGAAAGCTATCTATATCACCAAATCACACATGTAAATAATTAACAGTTTATATTTATAAATATCAATGTTTAAATTCTTACAATATTTATCAAAAACACACACTCTAGTAATACAGTCTTTTATCCATTGCAACTTTTCACTAGACTCTACAAATTTTATTACCAAATAATCTTTAAACCCATCAGAAAAAACTTGTCTAAAAGATACTAGGTTTTTTTTATCATCGCCCATCAAATTTTTGAACTCCAAATAAAGAATCATCAACACAAATAAGTGACTATCATCTATCCATGCATTAAAAAATCTCATCATTCAGCATACTGAACCATCAAACTTCAATAATATTGTGGATGAATTGCTTTAAAGCATGTCAAAATAGACTACACAGTACACACGCTGAGCAACGCATTTAAGGATTTATATTTTATTTCACTTCTCATTCGTGTTTTATTGTTATTTTTTTTAATTATCCGCACATTAACTTGATATCAGATAGTCACATGAGTTTCATAATAAATATCAAATTAAATTATACATAGATGCAACTAATCATATTAATCTCACTTTACTAAAATATGCACTACAAATATAGTTTTCCTGATCAGAGATCATGATTTCCCATTGATTTTGATGCCATTCCTTTTCAAGTGATAAATTTAAAAATCCTAAAAATAAGGGTACTATTAAAAACGCTATAAACTACGTGTCGACCTATAAACAACGGTTTCACAAATATCAAGAGAACCCATCCACAACCAAAGCAAAAACTTTCAAAATCCCCGACAAGAGGGAAATCGAAAACAAAAAGGCGGCAAACATGAAAAAATAAACAGCGAGGAAATCAAATCACCTCTAGGAAATACAAAATAACAAACTCCCTCTCTCTTTCCTGCTCCGCCACTCACTCAAAGAGAGTATTTTCGTGTCTCGATTGACGATCGTGCTTTCATTTCACAGGGACGCAAATTCGATCTTCGAACTCGATCGCTCACTCAAATTTCTCCGATTCTAAACCCTAATTCCTCGTTTCTCTGTTTTTGAGATCGACGTATTCTTCTTCTTGTTGTCACTGCAGAAAAAAACAGAGAAAACAAGTTGCCGTTACTAAGAATTTAAGCGCAATTGATTTGAAATCCTGATCCCAGCAGTATTTTGATTATCGAGCACGATTTCTGCCGCCGCTGCTTCTTATCTGATTTTGATTGCGATGTATTCTCGTTGCTGCTGTTGATTTTTTTTTTTTGGTTTTTAAAATCCTGAGCGTGTGTCTGTTTGGCTGCAGAGAAACAAGCGATTATATTGACGGTGCTGGAATCGATCGAGCTAAGTGTTTTAGCTTAATTTGAACCGAGTATGATTTCTGCTGCTGCTGCTTATCTTTTTTTTTTTGGTTCCGATTTATTCTCGTTGTTGCTGTTGATTTTATGTATTTTTAAAATCTTGAGCGTGTGTTTGTTTGGTTGTAGAACGATTTATTCTCGTCGCTGTTGTTGATTTTATGTGTTTTTAAAATCTTCAGCGTGTGTTTATCTGGTTGTAGAAAAACAAACGATTATACTGACCGAGCTGAAATTGACCGAACTAAGTGTTTTAGCTTAATTTAAGCTATCGAGTATGATTTCTTCGTGCTGTGTCTTTAGAAGTCTGAATGTGCGTGCGTGTGTTTGCAAATATATCGTTTAGGTTTTGCCTTTTTCTTAGAAATTTGTGTTTGTGGAATGCTTGCAAGTTTTTGATATGTTCTTGATTGATTTGATGGATTGTTTGAAGTAGGTGTATTGGTCTGTTAATCTAATGAATTAACTGTGTCTGGCTTAGCTATGAATAGCTGAACGCAGAGGATTATAATTTGCTTCTGTTTTCTGAGCAAGTAAATCAGGTTCATTGTTAACTGATTGAATGAATTTGAGTACCAGTTGTTTAGGAATATAAGTGTCTTGAGTCTTCAAGTGCTTAATCGATGGATGTTCGTGAGTTCTGTATGTTTTTGAAAGGCCAATTAATAAATACCCTTTTATTGTCTTCGCGTGGGAGGGGTGGTTGATATCGATTACTTATTGAATAATGGCCCAATTTTGAGCATGATTTGGGAAAAAAATCAGGCGAGGGATAGGGAGATTTGCTTCCATTCACTAATTTTTGAAAACAGCTCTGCTTCGAGCATGAATTGAAATAATTTGAATGGGAGAAGTGTTGCTCACATTGACTCGTTTTCGAAGAACAGCCCTGCTTTGAACATGACTAGAAAAAGGCATCATAAAAACTAAGACATCAACTAAATTCCACTAGCCATGCTATACTACATTTTCACATGGAAAATTCTTTCAGCTGCGCTTGGATCCTGTAATTGGGATAGCATCAGCTCAACCCCATTAGCAATGCTATTGTACATCTTCACTTGAAATTTGTGCCCAGCTTGGATCTTGTAATGCATCTCATGTTAGAGGAAGAACACATGAATCGACAACAGAAAGTTAGTC